CAGCTCAGTGCCTTTGGGCGCGAGGCTAGCTTGTAGAGTGGAGCGTATCCAGGCACTTAATTGGGGAACTAGGGTTTGCTGACTCTCGGAGCTAGAGTCCAGTGCCTTCGGGCTAAGGCTTATAGCAGAATGGAGTGCCTTTGGGCATTTATCGGCAGCCCTAAAAGAGCTTTTTAACATTGCCCAAGCAATATGTATTTTTTTTTCAGCTTATCATAGAGTCTCGCTAACTTTAAAAGCCAGAGCATTTACATCTTTCTATATAGCAGCTATATGACATCTATGGAAGGAATTCAAAGAAAGGGAATTCTACCACTACATTGCTCTCTTTATTAATAGGGATACAGGGAAGAGAACTTAAAGACTAGAGGCCCTCACTGAGACCTTGGAATCTTTGTTTGGCCTTTCTGTGTGATAATGAAAGCTCAAGTGACTATATGGAGCCTACTCGTCTTCAATAAACTATTTTACAGTTATGCTGTGCAACATTACTGCTATGTCTGAAACTCCTTTGCCCAAGAGTATAACTCTTGCTCTGAACTTGCTAACATTTCAAGAATTAGAAAAATAAAGCGATAACAATAGAAATGAGAAGGAATGATGACTGATTATAAAACACACATTTCCAACATAAAATTATCATTTATTTTTTAAAACGCTTGAAATAACATTCTAAAATAACCAATCATACCAATTACTTATATTATACTGATCTGTCAAAAGGAGCTCTGGTAGCGTAGTGGTTACAAATCGGGCTGCTAACCTCAGGGTCAGCAGTTCAAGACTACCAGCTGTTCCACGGGAGAAAGATGAGGCTTTCTGCTCCAGTAAAGATTCACAGCCTCAGAAACCCTGTACAGGGTCGCTATGAGTCGGAATCGACTCCACGGCCCATAACCACCAACCAAGCACCACCATACTGATCTATCAAAGAACAATTAGTTAGAGACCATATGAAGTGCTGGGCAATCTAATCCCTCATACCCCTGAAAAACTGCACAGGAAATCATACACAACTTCCTATACTTTAAAGCACTGAAAAGTATTACAGTATTTGAGAAATCTAGCAGTGTAAGTTTTGTATAGTATGTAAGAATTATTTTTTACTTTTTTTTTTTAAACAACGCTATATTGCATAAAAACCTTAATAACCAGAAACATACCATTTGCTCATATTTAATGGCATCCTTTTCAGCAATCTGAGCTGCCCTTTCTTTATTCACATAAGCCACTTTTAATTTCTTCTCCAGTTCTCTAAGTTCAACACTGTTGGAGGCGGGGAGGGGAAGAAATTTAAATTTGAGGATCACATTTCTGTTACTACTATGAAGTAAATTTATACCTGAGGTTTTTAAAAGATTTTTCTAAATGCATTAAAAGTATTTAAAAATTTTGAAACGACATCCTTTTCTCTCTTCATCCAAAGAGAAATCAGAATGCATGTTAAATAAAACATTATAATTAATATTCTGGACAAATCAACTCTTTTATTTCCAGCAATCATCACTAAAAACTTTTTTGCCATTGCTGGTTCAGAGAAGATGTTTGTCATGGATTGAACAATGTCCCCCTCAAAATATGTGTTGAAATCCTAACCGCTGTGTCTGTGGATGTTATCCCACTTAGGAACAGGATTTCTTTGTTATATTAATGAGGTCATAGGCACATAAGGAGCTCTGGTAGCGTAGTGGTTACAAATCGGGCTGCGAACCGCAAGGTCAGCAGTTCGAAACTACCAGCTGTTCCATGGAAGAAAGATGAGGCTTTCTGCTCCCGTAAAGATTTACAGCCTCGGAAACCCTGTACAGGGTCGCTATGAGTCGGAACCGACTCCACGGCACATAACAACAACAATCAGTACGAAGTGTGTTTAAAACTTGATCAGACACTTGATCTTAGCTAAAAGGCCCACTAGTAGTATAATGGTTGCAAGTCAGGCTGTTAACCTCAAGGTCAGTAGTTCAAAACTACCAGTTGTTCCACAGCAGAAAGATGAGCCTTTCTGCTCCTATAAAGATTTACAACCTCAGAAACCCTATACAGGGTTGCTATGAGTTAGAACCAACTCCATGGCACACAACAACCAAAAATTGACCACTTCTTTCCTTTTTGATAGGTTAACACATCAAAACATCCCACAATGCCTTTCACAACTCAATGAACACTGATTACATTTTTCCATATTTTGCTACCATTATCACTGTTGTTGGTGTTGTTAAGTGCTGACTCAAAGTGGTCTTTCATAGGGTTCCCAAGGAGTGGCTGGTGGGTTTGAACAGCCGACCGTGCAGTTGGGTCCTAGTACCGAGCCTACAGTTGTTGTTGCTCTTAGTGCTACAGCAGCTATCAGTATCCTTGTTCAAATATTCCACCTCGGTTAAGATGAACCCTATGACTCCTCCAAACAAAAACTCCTCCTTTCCCACCCCCTCCCTCCCTTGCTGTTGTTGTTTTTGTTTAGTGCTATTGAGTTGGTTCCAACTCATAATTACCCTGTGTGTAGGGTTTCCCGAGGAGCGACTGGTGAGTTTGAACCGCTGACCTTATGGTTCAAGCCGACCTTGCAGTCTAGTGCATTATCCTGCAGCGCCACACAAGGACTCCTGTTGTTGTTGTTAGATGTCATGAAGTCGGTTGTGACTCATAGTGACCATCTGCTCAACAGAACAAAACCTGCCCGGTCCTGTGTCATCCTCACAGTTGTGATGTTTGAGCCCACCATTGCACTGTGTCAATCCATCTCATTAGGGGTCTTCCTCTATTCTGCTGACCTGCCACTTTCCAAGCATAATGTCCTTCTCTAGGGACTGGTTCCTCCTGACAACATGTCCAAAGATTGAGAGATAAAGTCTCAGCATCCTCACTTCTAAGGAGCATTCTGGCTGTGCCCCTGGTTGTTGTTGTTGTTAAGTACCATGGAGTCGGTTCCGACTCACAGCGACCCTGTAAAGGGTTTCTGAGTCTGTAAATCTTTACGGGAGCAGAAAGCCTCCCGTGGAACAGCTGGTAGTTTCGAACTGCTGACCTTGTGGTTTGCAGCCCAATTCGTAACCACTACGCTACCAGAGCTCAGCCATTAATAAGGTTTGGTTTCTATATATTTGCTTATTTAAGTGAAATCACTTAAAGAAACCAAGATACCTGTTTTGTCTTATTTGTTGCCTCATCTTTTCATCCTTTAGACATTCATGTTTTAGTTTTGCCAGCTCTGCAGCTAATTTTTCTTCTTGTTCAACCTGGAGTTCCCTCAATCTTTTGTTTTCTTCTGCCTGAAAAAGAAAACACAACTTTAGATATTTTTCCTCCAGAATAATTCCCCCCACTCCTTGTTGTTGTTGTTAAGTGCCTTCGGATTGGTTCCAACCCATAGCAACCCTATCTAGGGTTTCTGAGTGGCTGGTGAGTTTGAACCACAGACCTTGCAGTTCAAAATGACCTTGTGGTCCAGTGCTTATCCTACAGTGCCTTTAAGAATTTATTTGTTTTACAATACAAACTGAAAGTGCCTCAGGAACCATGGTTGATTATTTTGTGTTGTATAACTTCCAGAATGCCTTGTGGACATTTCTTCACAGATGATAGCAGTGCAAGAGATAATGCTAGTATTGCAAATGTCTTCACTATACAACTGTTAAACCAATTATGTTCTTCTTCAGATTAAAACAGGAATTTGATTTTTAAATTCCAAATATTTCAAGAAATAACTTTGCAAAGTTTTTAATATGTGAAATTCCAAACAGCACCAAATACACCCTCAGGCAACATCAACCATTTTCAGTAACTGTTTTGCTAATCTTTTTTCTTCTACCCTCCCACTAGTCTTACCTTATCCCCTATCCTTTTCTTCACTGTTGTTGTTAAGTGCCATCGAGTCGATTCCGACCCATAGCGACCCTGTACAGGGTTTCCAAGGTTGTAAATCTTGACGAGAGTAGAGTATTTTAAAACAATACATCATGTCATTCACCATGTAAACAATTTGGTGCTTTTATATCCATTTCAGATTCAATAATGGAATCCGTACTTGGTAAGAATTTTGATTTCTAAAACAACAATGCTGTTAACACACCTAACAATAATTCCTCACTAATGTTTCATGTGGCGCTGTGGGCTAATGCGTCAGACTTCAAAGTTGTCTGAACTGCAAGGTCGGGTTCAAGGTCACCAGCTGCTCCTTGGAAAGCCTATACAGGGTCGCTATGGGTCGGAATCGACTCGATGGCACTTAACAATGACAACAATGTCTCATGCCCTGTCCATATTCAAATTTCCTTAATTGTTTCAAGGATGCTTCTTTCCCAGTTGGTTTGTTCAAGTCACAATCCAAACAAGGAACACATGTTACATTTGGTAATAATTTCTCTTGTTGTTATCATTGTTAAGTGCCATCAGTTCTGACTCATAGAGACCCTGTATATAGTTTCTGAGGCATGACCAGTGAATTTGAACCACCAACTCTGCAGCTCAAACCGACTTTGCGGTCCAGTGCATTATCCCACAGTGACATCCAGGACTCTTAGGTCGTTATATTCTGGAATTATTACCCTGCCCTTTTTTCCAAGTCATTAATTTTTTGTTGTTTTTGTTTAGAAATTAGGACATGCATCCCCCACATTCTGAATTTGACTGTTTGCTTCCCCTCAAGATGGTGTTTAACTGATTTCTCTTGTATGTCCTATAAAATGGAAAACTTCTAGGAATAGCTACAAGTATAATTACATTCTGTATTTATATGTTTGTTATACATTTGCTATGCATCCTATTTTAGGGGCACACACTATGTGGATGTTACTATATGCCACTAAGGTGTGGTAATATGCAGCCACAGAAGACTAACCCAACTGAGCTGTGCTTGTCTAGTGTCAAGCTCATGAACAATGAGGAAAGGCTGAGGAGATTCACATTGGAGGAGACGAAGTTTGGAGGAAACTAAGATGATATGACAACGAAATACAATTTGGGTTTTAGGAACAGAAAAAACAGGCATTAGCACAAACTCTGGTGAAATATGAATAATCCTGTAGTTAACAAAACTGTCAGAACCACCTAGCACACCCACTGATGTTGAGTCCACTCTAGGGTTTTTGTGAGAATGGTACCGTACCAGGCTAATTTCTTCATGTTGATAACTCTTCCATGATTATGTACAATGCAAACACAAGGAGAAGTTGGGTGGAATAGAATACAAAGACTTGCTGAAATACTGTTGCAATTCGTTTGTAAATCTAAAATCCTCTCAAAATAAAAGTTAAACATAGACACAATTCTAAACTGTCCGCTGGAAGACCTAGAAGCAGGGTCAATGCAATAGCCCTGGAGTGGCACTACAGGATACGCATTGGACTGGTAGTCTCAAGGTCAGCAGTTCAAACCCACCAGCTGCCCTGGAAACCCTATACAGAGTTGCTATGATTTGGAATCAACTCAGCAGCACACAACACCAACAAAGCCCATTCAGCACTCACAGTGTGACCTCTTGATAACAACAGCAAGTATTTAGAATTTAGAAGTCAGACGGATAAATACAACTTTTAAACTTCGCTTTTGCAATTTCCCATAGTACCCTAACAGGTGCTCAAAAAATATCATAATTTTGAGAACTAATTTCTCTCTTATATCTCTTTTATTTATTTATTTATTGCTTAACAGTTTCTCTTCTTCTATTATCTTGATTCTTTAGAATACTTAGACATTTCCACTGGAAAACAATCTGCGTATTTCAGCAGCTCTAGATACATGAAGGAGTCCTGGGAAAAGTAGTCCTGATATAGTGCTTAGGACTAGCACTGCACTGTTAATCACAAGGCTGGCAGTTCAAACCCACCAGCCACTGCTCGGAAATCTTATACAGGGGCCCTATGACTCGGAACCAACTTGACAGTACATATATATGAAGACTTTTAAGTCCTTCAAGGACATATTTTTTAAATCAGAAAAACACTTAACACCAAAATGTCCCTTTTCTGTGCTAGCTTTGGCAACACCTATACAAAAAATGAGGGCGCCCTAGTAGTGTGGTGGATTATGAGACGGACTGCTGACCACAAGGCCAGTAGTTGGAATCTACCAGTCACCCCGCAGAGAAAGATGAGGCTTTCTGCTTCCATAAAGATTTACAGCCTCGGAAACCCTTTACAGGGTCACTATGAGTCGGAACCAACTCCACGAACCACCACCACCACCGTACTAAAGATGACCCTTGCACAAGGACATCATGCAAATGTCTGAAGTGTTTCATATTTTTATCCTGTAAAACAGTAATAAGAGTAGTCTACAAGTGGATACAGATAGATATGTCCAGTTGACCCTTAAACAACATGGGCTTTAACTCCACAAGTCCACTTACACCTGGATATGTCCGCTGTTGCCAGTGCAGTGAGCTCAAGTGTTGAGAAGCCACTTAAAACACCAATTGATACTTATCATCTCCCTCTAGGCTCAGTGATGATTAGTGTCCTACAGTGTTAGAAGAGGATACTCACAACATTAATGTTCACTGCAATAACTAATTGGCAATAGGAAAAAAAAAATTGTGTCCAAGTGAGCCTGCATAATTCAAACCTATATTGTTCAAGGGTCAACTGTAAATGCAGATTTTTTAATTCAATGTAATAATGAATAGTAAATTTACCTTTTGAATGGCTTCTTCCATATCCAACTCAAATTGTTCATTCTGTAATAATCTGAGAAATCGTTTGCGCTCAACACGGTCATCATTTTCATTCTTCACCTTGAGGTCTCTGACTTGATTCTCTATCTTTTTTAGCGCTTCAATGTGCGACATTTTTCTGTAATTTTCATCTACCAATTTCTGATGTCGTTCAGCATAGCTCAAATTTCTCCTTTTGGAAGACTATAGTGCAAAAAAAAAAAAAAAAGGTAATAATAAATTAAATTTAAAATTTTAAAAGCTATATCTACTTTGACGTTCCAAAAATCTGTAATTTTTATATGATACTAAGATAGTAACTAAAATACAAAAGGCTTCCTTCCTAAATTCAGAGCTTTACTATAATAAAAATGTAAACATGGTAGACAAATATATTGGCATACCAATAAAGTTGTTGTTGTTAAGTACCGTGGAGTCAGTTCTGACTCACAGTGACCCTGCACAGGGTTTCCAAGGCTGTTTATCTTTACGGAAGCAGAACGCCTCATCTTTCTGCTGCGGAACCGCTGGTAGTTTTGAACTGCTGACCTTGAGGTTGGCAACTCGACTCGTAACCACTACGCTACCAATAAAGTAGGTGCTATTAAGGGGAGTCCTGATGTGGTGCTATGGGTTAATGCGCCAGACTGCAAAGCCGTTTGAACTGCAAGGTCGGCAGTTCAAGCTCACCAGCTGCTCCTTGGAAACCCTCTACAGGGTCACTATGTGTCGGAATCGACTCGATGGCACTTCACAACAATTAAGTGTGGCACTGCAGGTTAACGTGCTGGACTGCAAAGTGGTTTTGAACTGAAAGGTCTGTGATTCAGGTTCACCAGTTGATCCTCAGAAACCCTATACTGGGTCGCTATGGGTCGGAACTGACTCGAAGCATTTAACAACAACAAGAACATTATTATTCCCCATTTTACAGATAAAACAGGAAAAGTAAAAACAATTTAGTGAAGGTTTGCAGCTAGTAAAAAGTAGTACTAGGATTCTAAGACATGAAATCCGGCTTAGTCCCTCTTTTTTTTTAAACTACTGCATAGAGGCTGGAGCTCTGGTTAAGGGTCCAGCTACTAACAGCAAAATCAGCCTTTCGAATCCACCAGCTGTTCCAAGGGAGAAAGATGAGGTTTTCTGCTTCCACGAAGATTTAGTCTTGGAAACCCTATACAGAGTACTCAACAGGACACAATCGCCACCTCTCCACACCGGGTATTCCTCCTCTCCTCATTCTATGCCCCAAACAAGTCATAGGTGTTGTTTGGAAGCTGGTTAACTTTTCCTACTGGTATCCATTCATTCATCTCTCCAGGGCTTGCATTTCCACTAATATGTCCAGAGGTTCTACATCTTTCCCTGATTTCCAGGAATATGAGAAACAAGATTTTTCACGGCATACTGAAAGATGTATCTAATTAGGTAGGGGAGAAGGGAAGTGGATACAAAAAAGGCTGGAAGTCACCGTGTAAGCCCTTTACTGAGCATAAATGTTAAGTTTCCCACATCAATTCTCAGATTTTTGTTAAGTGCTACCCACAGTGACTCTATAGTTTCCAAGGCTGTGTGTAAATCTTTGCGGAAACAGAAAGCCTCAACTTTCTCCCCAGTGTGGCTGGTGGACTCCAAACGAAGCCTTTTGTAGTTCACAGTCCAGAGCAGACCCACCGTGCTAGCACCTCCAACTCTCAGATTGGTGGTGGCGTGGTGCTGTGTGCCATGGAGTCGGTTCCGACTCACAGCGACCCTGCACAGGGTTTCCGAGGCTGTAAATCTTTACGGGAGCAGAACGCCTCATCATTCTCCCGCAGAACAGCTGGTAGTTTTGAACTGCTGACCTTGCGGTTCGCAGCTCGATTTGTAACCACTACGAACCCAGAGCTCCTCTCAAATTAGGCACTTAAAATTTTTATAAACTGGGGGCGGGGGGGGGGCTACAAACTATATCAAATAAATAAACACATCGTTTCGAGTCCCCCAACCAGCTCACCATCTTGACTGAAGAAAACTCCTTCTCTGCCTTCTGTGGCCCACCACCTCTCAGGGCAAACGCACAGGCCACAAGCCAGGGAGGCTGCACCTGGCTCCGCGCAGCCCAGTGTTTACGCGGTGTCCCAGCAACAGCCGCCGCAGAAACCAACCAGCGCAGTTCTCGGCCTCCTAGTGGGACCGGCAAGATCCAATCGACACTGAGCTTCTTGGAAGCCCGGCAGCGCGTCCTCTCCTACTGATTGAAACGAGTTGGGCGGGAAATTCAGACTAGCGTTTTTGCATTTTGGGAGAGGAACTAAGGTTTTACCCCAAGGGGCCAAACGCTGTAATTTAAGTAGGTTTGGAAGCTAAGGGAAAATCTGTAGGAACTATTTACAGGATAAAGCAGATTGCAGTGTTAGTACTTCCTGGTGTGGCGCTGTGGGTTAATGCGTCAGACTTCCAAACCCGTTTGAACTGCAAGGTCGGGGGTTCAAGCTCACCAACTGCTCCTCGGAAACCCTATACAGGGTCTCTATGGGTCGGAACCGACTCAACAGCACTTAACAACAACAACAATAGGTATATAGGGGGACAACATTAATAAGTTATGCTCACCCTGGAATACTCAAACCATCCGAGATGAAAAGGACAACATTTACCTAAGGACAAAGTTCAGAAGGGTTGAGTAGGAGGGTGGAATAGAAATAAGACTCTTCAGGGAGGAAGTGGGATAACTGTTGTTACATGAAGGGAATTGAAGTCATTGAGATGAAATAAACTATGACTAATTAAATGCACTGGTAGCGTAGTGGTTACGAATCGGGCTGCGAACCTTCAGGACAGCAGTTCGAAACTACCAGCCGTTCCGCGGGAGAAAGATGAGGCTTTCTGCTCCCGTAAAGATTTACAGCCTCGGAAACCCTGTTCAGGGTCGCTATGGGTCGGAACCGACTCGAAGACACTTAACAACAACAACAATTAAATGCAAAACTGATGGTCTGCTCTAAATCTGAATGTAAAACGAGTGATATGCTCTGTAAATCTTCACTCAATTCACAATAAAAAGCTTTAAAAAAACAAACAAAAACCAAGTATGCATCAGACGAATTCTGAACTATGGTTTAAAACTTCAGCGATGGTGGTGTGGTGGAGTCAATTTCCTACTCATAGCAACCCTGTATAAGATTTCCAATGCTATAAATCTTAGGAGAACAGAAAGCCTCATCTTTCTCCAACAGAGTGGTTAGTAGATTTGAACTGCTGACCTTGCGGTTAGCAGCCTAACTCATGACACACTACAGCTACCAGAGCTCCTACAGAGATGATACATTTAGAGAAGTCTTGTCAAAACTAAAATGTTTTCAAAGGCAGCAGCAGTTGCTTTCATCCAATTTGAAGTCCATCTTGTGTAGCACTCTATCTCCTTATTGTTAAGTTCCAACTGATAGTGACCCTATATAGGGTTTCCAAAGAGTGGCTGGTGGATTTGGACTGCCAACCTTTCGGTTATCAGTGGTTATCTTACAGTGCCATACCAGGACCCCACTGTTGTTAGACGTGGCCCAGTTAGCTTGGACTCATAGCAACCCTACGCACAACAGAAGGAAGCACTGTGCCATCGTCACAGGCTCCTCATGAGCACAATGAAGTGTTCTGGAATACCTATTCTTCACAATGTTATTCATAACTTGTCATGATCCACACAGTCAAATGCCTTTGCATAGTCAATAAAGCACAAGTAAACAAATTTCTGGTATTCTCTGCTTTTAACCAAGATCCATCGGACATCAGCAATGATATCCCTTGTTCCAATTCCTTTTCTGAATCTTGCTTGACATTCTGGCAGTTCTCTGTGAAGTATACTTTTGCAGCCATTTTTTAATTATCTTCAGCAAAATTTTACTTTCATGTGATATTAACGATTTGTTCAATGATTGCCACATTCCATTGTGTCACTTGTCTCCAAATGGGCACAAATATGGCTCTCACCTGATTTGTCACCATTGCTGTCTTCCAAATTTCTTGGCATAGATGAGTGAGCACCTCCAGTGTCACACCAGTTTGTTGAAAGATTTCAATTTGTAGTCCATCAATTTTTGATACCTTTTTTATGCCAATACCTTCAGTACAGTTTAGAATTCTTTCTTCAGAACCATTGGTTTTTGATCATTTGTTGTTGTTAAGTGTAGTCTAGTCAACTCCAACCCATAGCAACCTTGTATAGGGTTTCTGAGGAACAGCTGTTGAGCTTGAACTGCTGACCTTGCAGTTCAAACAGCTTTGCAGTCTGGTGCATTAACCCACAGCGCCACACCAGGATCATATGCTGCATCTTAAAATGGTTGAACATCGATCATTTCTTTCTGGTACAGTGACTCTGTAAACATTCCATCTTCTTTTGATGCTTTCTGCATCATTCAATGTTATGCCCATAGAATTCTTTCATGTTTCAAATTGAGGCTTCATTTTTTTTTCACTTTTCTTAGCTGAGAAATGCTGAGTGTGTTCTTCCCTTTTGAGCTTCTAACTCCAGGTCTTTGCACATTTTATTATACAGGACATTTTATTATAACACTTGTTCTTTGAATTTTTCGGTTCAGCTCTTTTATTTCCTCATTCCTTCCACTCACGTTAGCTTCTCTACACTTATTCATCTCAAGATCAAGTTTTAGAGTCTCTTCTGACATTCATTTTGGTCTTTTCTTTCTTTCCCTCTTTTTCATTACCTTTTGCTTTTTTTCCTGTATGACGTTCTTTTTTTTTTTTTTTTTTTTTAACAGCTTTTACCTTATTCACTTTAACCACTGCATTCTTCCCTGTGTCTCCCACCACTCCCATCTTTCCTCTGCCAACCTCCCTCCGGCTGTACATTGCCTGCCATGTCACCCATGTCAACGTGTGTCTACCCTCTAGTGCATGTATCATTTCCTCCTCCCCCCAAAACCATCATAGATTGTTTCTTTTATCAAGAAAACCCCCTCTCTATAGATATTTTTTCTTTTTGATGCATACACACACAAAAACATGCAGCAATAGATAATTGTATAAACAAGAAAAGGGCACATTGTGGAAGCCAGCCTCCTGGCCACTTCTCTAGAGTCCCCCAGTTGCTGAATCTCTCTATGCCATCACCACTGCATCCATCTCTGATGTTGCTGCTTCTCTTATTAGGATTCCACGGTCAGCTCGTGCTCTCCTCTCTTGATGGTCATAGGGTCCTCTGTTCCTGGAATGTAAGAACAACTTGCTGCACTACATCTACCTTTACAGTTGTGACTATTGCAATTAGGTATAACAATTACTCACTATTAACTGAATGAATCTCATCCCCATCTCCTTTCACCAGACCATCTAGACAAGAGGAAAACTATTCAGTGGGGATTCTGCCTTCCCCTGCACACTCTGAAACTTAACTCCCTCTTGAAAACTTGTAAGCCAGCCACTTTGTGCCTTTATAGCTCCCTCTCCTCCTATTTTAGGTAGCCAATGTCTAAGTTATCCATCCCTATCAATCCTATGTACAGAGGGGATAGATTTGATCCTTGATGTGAAGACTCCTTCCCTCTTGGTTGGTAGTTTAAGCTATTAAATCCATAAGTATGTAGTAGCTTAAAAAAGGTCTGCTGCACAAGACCTTTTTAAAATGTTGAAGAGCAAAGATGTCAGCTTGAGGACTAAGGTGCACCTGGCCCAAGCCATGGTATTTTCAATAACCTCTTACACATGAGAAAGCTGGACAGTGAATAAGGAAGACCGTAGAAGAATGAATACATTTGAGTTATGGTGTTGGGAGAGAATATTGAAAGTGCCACAGGCTTCCAAAAGTACCAACAGATCTGTGTTGGAAGAAGTACAGCCAGAGTACTCCTTGGAGGCCAGGATGGCCAAACTTAGTTTCTCATTCTTCATATTGTCAGGAGGGAGCAGTCGCTGGAGAAGGATATCATGTTTAGTAAGGTGGAGGGTCAGAGAAAAAGAGGAAGACTCCCAGCGAGATGGATTGGCAAAATGCCAGCATTAATGGGCTCAAGCATGGCAACCAATTGTGAAGTTGGCCCAGGCCTGGACAGTGTTCGTTTTGTTGTGCATAGGGTCGCTATGAGTCGGTACCAACTAGATAGCACCTAACAACAACAATATCCATAAGTACAGGTCAAATTCATCAAGTTGTAGCAATTTACACTTACTTCCTTTATCAAATTTCTTTATCTTCTAGTGGAGTTCTAATCATCATGCCATCAAAGCTAGGTCCAATGGGTACTATTCACAAGTTTGGACATTCTTGTGCGTCTTCCCTCACTTCATATCAGCTGGACACTTCATTCTTGGCTCTAGCCCTTTGTGGCCATGGGCTCAGGAGTTCCCAAGTCTCGTTACACTTTAGACCAACCAGCCTTTCGTCTTCTGTGTCTCATCACAAGGTCGACCGGAGTGTACGGAACGGAATCAAACTCAGCCCATATCTTCATAGCTGCCTTGCCCCCATTTCCACTCACAAGTAGACCAATGCGGTCACTAGCAATCTTAAGTGCCTATTCTTGTGTTCCCTTTGAGTTTCTGTCTTGTAGAGGGAGTTGTCCTGAAGTGACTTGATTGCTTGCCTTGATGGCTTCCCGGCTAACAAATTGCTTGTCTTGTAGTAAGCCAATCAGACCGTTGTTTTTGTTTTTGATTTTTCCTGCTGGTCTTTCATAAGTATCTTCTGTTGCTCTAGCTGCTCCAGGCTGGTCTGCATGCTGTATGGCATTCTTCATGTTATCCCACAACAATTTTGGTCTTTGGTCATTATTGTCTAATGCACCAAATCTGTTCTTGAGATGGTCTCTAAATTCAGGTGTAATATGTTCAAGCTCATATTTTGGCTCTCTTGGACTTGTTTTAATTTTCTTCAGCTTCAGCCTGAACTTGCATATGAATAATTTTTTTATTAAATAAATGTTTTATTGTGTATTGTGTGATAGTTTACATTTGGGAAACATTAGTTTTACATTCATTCTATCATACATCATTTCATTGCCATAGTTACCATCCCGTCCATGCATCATCACCCAACCAAAGGGTATACTCTGCAAGCCTGCCCTCCCCCTCCCCCACGGTCCTCAGCACACAGCCCCTTCCCCTCTCTGGATCTCAGGTCCTCAGCCACTCCATCTCTTCACGTCATCCTCTCTGTCTCCATCTCAGGCCTCACTGCTTCTCTGGGTGGGGTCCCGCTCTCTGCTCTTCTCCAGTGATGGTCCCAGGGCCCTCCGCTCCTAGACTGAAAGGTTAATCATTCCCCTCCTTGCTATAAAATATCCACCTTTACATTTCCAGTCCTCGCAATCAGTCCTGATAACAATTATTCAACTTTCATATGAATAATTGGTGATCTGTTCCACAGTCTGTCCTAGCCTTGCTTTGGCTGGTGATATGAGCTTTCTCACTGTCTCTTCCATCAGATGTGGTCAGTCTGATTCCTGTTCATTCCATATGGTGAGGTCCATGTGACTGCCTTTTATGTTATTTAAAAAGGTATATTTGAAATGAATAAGTCTTTGGTCTTGCAAAATTCTGTTATACAATTTCCAGCATCATTGCTATCACCAACATCATATTTTCCAACTACTGATCCTTCCTCTTCGTTTCCAATCTTTACTTTCCAATTACCAGTAATTATTAATACATCTTGATTGCTTGTTTGATTAATTTCAGACTGAAGAAGTTAATAGAATTTGCGATTTCATCATCACTGGCTCTAGTTATTGATGCATAAATTTTTAGGCATATACATATTGTCCTATTACAGACAAGTACAAGCATTGTACTTCAAGATAGATCTTGAAGTATTCTTTTTGATCATGAATGTGATACCATTCCTCTTGAATTTGTCATTCTCAGTATAGTAAACCATTTGATTGCCTGATTCAAAATGTCCATTACCATTCTATAGCAGCTAAATAATGCATAGGATATTGGTGTTTATGTGCTTTATTCCATTTTTGACAACTTTTAATTTTCATAAATTTATACTTCTTACATTCCATGTTCTGATTATTAATGGATGTTTATAGCTGTTTCTCCTCATTTTGAGCTGTGTCCCTTCAGTAAATGAAGATCCCTAAAGCTTTATTTACTCCATTTGCATCAATATAGTCAACTCTACTTTGAAGAGGCAGCTCTTCCTCAGTCATATTTTGAGTGCCTTCCAACCTGAGGGACTCATCTTCCAGCACTATTTCTGGCAATATTATGGCACTATTCATACTGTTTCAATATTCAACATTCTGATGCTATTTGGCAGCATTCCGCTGCTATTCATAAGGTATTCAATGGGTAAATATTCAGAAGTAGTCTGTCTTTCTCCTTCCTAGTCTTTCTTAGTCTGAAAGCTCCACTGACACCTGTCCACCATGGGTGACTCTGTTGGTATTTAAAATACCTGTGACATAGCTTCCAAAATCACAACACACATGCCACCACAGCACAACAAACTGACAGATGAGTGGTGGAGGTTCCCAAGTTTTTGTTGTTATTACGTGCCGTCAAGTCAGTTCCCACTTATAGCAACACTGTATAGAGTTTCTGAGGAACAGCTTGTGAGTTTGAACTGCCGACCTTGTGGTTCAGTGCTTATCCTACAGAGCCACACCAGAATTCCATAGAGGTTAATAATAAATAAGACTCCAATTACAGCTGCAGCACAGAAAGAGCCTGGACGTCATGAATCCTAGCTTTACAGCAAGAAATAAAAAACGGAATAAAGTGAAAATAAAATATTCTCATAACTGACAGAAAACTGAGGTCACAGAGAAATTTGACATGCAGAATCTGGACAGACAGGTGATTCTGGAGAATTGAAGGTGAGATCTACTTACCTGGAATAGAAACCACTGGCCCCACACACTGGTTATTGTTGTTAGGTGCTGTCAAGTTAGTTCCAATTCATAGCAGTTCTACATACAACAGAACGAAACACTGCTAGGTCCCGTGCCATCCTACATAATCATTGCCATATTTGCATCCATTGTTGCAGCCAGGGTGCCAATCCATCTTGTTGAAGGTCTTCCCTTTTTTCTCTGCCACTGTACAAAGTATGGTATCCCTCCTGATAACATGTCCAAAGTATATGACACAAAGTCTCACCATCCTCACTTCCACACAGCATTCTGATTGTACGTATGATGAATACTACTTCCAAGAAAGATTTGTTAGTTCTTCTGGAAGTCTATAGAATCTTTAATAGTCTGACAATACCACAATTAAAAAGCATAAATCTTCAGTCTTCCTTATTCATTGTGCAGCTTTCACATGCATATCACGCCATTGAAAGTACCATGGCTTGGGTCAGATACACCTTAGTCCTCAAAATGACATCTTTGTTTTTAACGCTTAAAGAATTCTTTTGCAACAGATTTGCCCAATGGGTATTGATTGTGGATCCAAGTAAAATGAAATCTTTGACAACTTCAGCCTCTTATTTTTCACGGTGTTGTTTATTGGTGCAGTTGTGAGGATTCTTGTTTTATTTATGTTGAGGTGTAATCCATCTGAGGAGTCCTGGTGTGGCGCTGTGGTCTAATGCATCAGACTGCAAAGTCATTTGAACTGCAAGGTCGGTGGTTCAAGTTCACCAGCTGCTCCTTGGAAACCCTATACAAGGTCACTATCAGTCAGAATCCACTCGACTGCACTTAGCAACAACAACAACAACAATCCATCTGAAGGCTATATTCTTTGATTTCATCAGTAAATGCTTCAAGTCCTTTTCACTTGCAGAAAGCAAGGTTGTATCAATTAACATATTATAGGTTGTTAATAAACCTTCCTCCAATCCTGATGTCCCTTTCTTCATTATTTGCTCAGCATACAGATTAAATAAGTATGGTGAAAGGATGCAATCTTGGTACACATCTTTCCTGATACAAAGCCAGGCAGTATCCTTTTGTTCTGTTTGAACAACTGCTTCTTGGTCTATGTATAGGTTCAGAATGAACACAATTAAGTGTTCTAGAATTTCCATCATTTGAAATGTTATCCATAATTTATTGTGATCCACACAGCCAGGTGTTTTTGCATAGTCAATAGATAAAGGTAAACAGCTTTCTAGTATTCTCTGCTTTCAGCCAAGATCCATCTGACATCAGCTATGATATCTTTCATTCCACGTCCTCTTATGAATCTGACTTGATTTTCTGGCAGTTCCGTGTAGATGCTGCTCCTGTTTTTGAATTATCTTCAGCAAAAAATTTACTTGCATCTGATATTAATGATATTGTTCAATAATCTCTGCATTCTGTTGGGTCACCTTTCTTTGGAATGAGCACAAATATGGATTTTTTTCCCACAAAATTGGCTGGGTAGCAGTCTTTCAAATTTCTTGGAGTTGACAAATGTCTGCTTCCAGTGCTGTATCAGTTTATCGAAACATTTCCATTTATTCTGTCAATTCCTGAATCCTTGTTTTTCACCAATGTCTTCAGGGCAACTTCGACTTCTTCCTTCAGTACCATCAATTCTTTATCACTTGTTACCTCTTGAAATAGTTGAAGGATGATGACCAACACTTTTTGGTACAGTGACTATATATTCTTCCATCTTCTTTTGATGCTGCAGAAGAAAGACCTCGTGATATAGTTCTGTAACAATTATAATCAAGCAAACTCAATAGAACAATTCTACCCTGTAACACATGATGAGATCACCATGAGTCAGAATCACCAGGTGTGACTATTTTTATGCCCTTGCACAGTCCCGTGTAGTAAACCCCTTGATTACAAACCTCAGACGTATGAGTCAACGCCTACTTGGCCTTTAATGTTATGTAAATTTACCCTCACTTTGGAACAATTGAACCAACCCATTTACACCCAACAAATTCTTTCTCATGATCACCTTCACTTACTACGTGTGCAGTTTTAAAATTTTTTAAAAGACCTTGAGCCTTTTTCTTGCACTAACACACTGCTATAGATTTAATTACGATGCATTGCGACCCTATAGGACAGAGGAGAACTTCTCCTTAGAGTTTCTGAGACTATAAATCTTTATAGGAGCAAACAGCCTCATCTTTCTCTTGCAAAACAAGTGGTGGGTTTGAACTGCCCAAAAGGCTTAATCCTTTGGGCCACCAGTACCTCTTTCCTCACACTAAAGTAATTAAGAACTGCATGCACTGGTTCCAACTTAACTATAAATTATACATAAAATAGTTAGGAACTGATCTTGTTCATAGGCCAGGGACTGCCTGTACAGGTCATTTACTCATGACTGTATATCATCATTGTCTGTACTCATTGGCATGACTGCCTGAGAAGAACAGGAAGAAGGCAAAAACTCACCCTCTTGGCACTCTGTAAATTGTCCTGGTATGCAGCAAATAAAGTAACCTGCAAATCTCTCTTCTGGACATTGGCATCACGCCACATAGTTGGACTTCCTGTCTTAAAAGTAGGAGGTGAGAACAAGTTCTGGATAAAATAGGATATGATAGGTTCAATAAAATATAGGTTGTTGTTAGGTGCCGTCAAGTCTGTTCTGACTAATAGTGACCCTCTGCACAACAGAAAGGAACACTGCCCGATCTCGGGCCGTCTTCACAATCATAGTTATGCTTGAGTCCATTGCTGCGGTCACAGTGCCAATCCAGGTCTTTGGGGGTCTTCTTCTTTGCTAACCCTCCACTTTACTTAGCATGATGTCCTTCTCCAGGGACTGGCCCCTCCTGATAACATGTCCAAACTATGAAAGATGAAGTCCGGCCATCCTAACTTCTAAGGAGCATTCTGGTGTACTTCTTCCAACACAGGTTTGTTTGTTCATCTGGCAGTCCAAAGGTACTTTTAATATTCTTCTCCAATACCATAATTCAAATGCATCAATTCTATGATTTTCCTTATTCATTGTCCAAGTTTCACACGCATATGAGGCTATTGAAAACATCATGGCTTGGGTCAGGCCATAGATTTCAAACGGACAGACTTGCTCTTGAACATTTTAAAGAGGTCTTGTGAAGCAGATTTACCTAGTGTAGTACGTTGTTTAAGTCTCTGACTGTTGCTTCCATAAATGTTGGTTGCTGTTGCTGTTGTTAAGTGCAATCGAGTTGCTTCTGACTCATAGCCACCTTGTATGGGGTTTCTGAGGAGTGGCTGGTGAGTTTGAAGTGCTTTGTGTTTAGCAGTCAAGTGCTTATCCTACAGTGCCATTCCTGATAACAAATGTTATATAGTATTGCAAAATATTTTAGCAAGCATATATCTTTCTTTCATTATATTTTGCTTCTCTAAGGGGAATTTTAGTTGCAGTCTACCCTTGAGTATTGTAGGATTCACACAATTTAATAGATGGTCACTCTGAGAAAAGGATTTGGGGGCTGAATGTTCACCTGAAATAAAGATAAATTTAATTTATTGTAACAAAGAATTGATTTTACCTTAAGAAAAGGAAAAAAGTGGCCTAAAAACTATTACATGTTTTAATAATTAGTACATTTAAAGATTATTTCTAGAGGTAAATTATTACTATAGTAAATGATACTTCATTGTTAAGAGAGGATTTATGCACTCCAGCATTAAAGAAAAATCTTCTGGTTCATTTCCCTTCAGAATGCAGCTTTTCACCTATAGGTCTAGACTAAAATGTCTGGCAAAATGAAAGAAAAGAGCTTTTCCTAATAATAAATGATGGATTATACGGATGAATGTTTCCCTATAGTTAAAACATGGAGTCCTGGTGTGGTGCTGTGGGCTAATGCATCAGACTGCAAAGTCATTTGAACCACAAGGTTGGTGGTTCAAGCTCACCAGCTGTTCCTTGGAAACCCTACACAGGGCCGCTATGGGTCGGAATCGACTAGATGGCACTTAACAACACCAACATAGTTAAAACATAACAGGTTTGAACATATCAGAGTTACTGATCTGAATAAAGGCTTGTAAATAGGGATATGCTGTAACTTGTAACTATACAGTGGAAATTATTTACAAAATTATATTGTTTTATAAAATGAAGCAATTAGAATAAAACAATTTTTCTTTCGTTCAGAAAAAATGCCCAAATCTAATCTAATTTGCTGCAGCTGGACACCACCTGCAGATGACTGTTTAAGTACTCTGAACATTACACACTTATCTTTTAAATATTGATAATGCCATTTTTCATTTCGTAGACATGAAATCCCACAGGGAATAATTATGCTAATAAACCTTAATGATTCTTGCAAATAAATGATCAAACCAAATTGCTACTGTTGATTTATATTAATGGATGCCTTTAGGACGAGATTTGCCTGTACGGTGCTGCCTCTTGAATCTCAATTCATCTTATTTAGCTGAAGAGTGTACATAGTTTGTTAAATAGATGAAGTGTTTAAAATATAATGTGTTTGTGCAGTTTTTGCAGTTCATAATGTTCAAGCATTACCATCTTGCCTTGTGGCAAATCTGCAGTTAATGGTTTCATTGTACATAACTTTCCTTTAGTACTTTTTTCTCTCTTACATGCAGTTAGAAAATGACTACTTTCTGGCGGATTCAGAATAGGCCAGCTTCCATATGTTGAATCTGATTGTTTCATTAAGACAATGAAATCTGTTTCTGAATATTTTAGCCACCATAATCTGGAAATCTGATTGACTGTGTGAAGATGTGGTCAAATGGTAAACAATTGTTTGGGGGCAAAAAGGACAGTATTAAATGGATTATCTGTTGCCCCAACTAATCCTAGATTATTTTCTCTCTCATTTTCCTGTTCTCTTACTTCCACTCTTGCTCTTACATTCTTTGAAAGTCGATGGGAAACAGGGGATTGCTGACTTTGTGGATACTAAAATAAAACCCGGGGGAGAGGGGAGGGATACAACACTAAGTACATTTTATATGTTCATTTCCAAAATTGGGAAATGTAACATAGACTACTTATTCCCTGTGGATATGAATAAAACATTATCTGGATTACTTTGTAACAACCACTTTTAATTTTAAAAATCTATAATTGAGAAAATATTATCTTTGTTCATATAATTCTTTTAATTATCTACTTTGTTGTGCACCGAAAGCCACATTCTAAGTGTAGGAGAGAAACAGAATAAAAACACTACATGTATAGGCATAAAGTTGGATGAAAAGGTATGTAAAATCAAACCCACTGCCATAGAGGAGAGTCTGACTCATAGCGATCCTACAGAATAGAATAGAAACTTCTTAGTGTTTCCAAGACAGTAAATCTTTACAGGAGTAGACAGTCTCATCTTGTTCCTGAGGAGTGACTAGTGGGTTTGAACTGCTAATCAACCTTGCAGTTAATAGCCCAACACTTAACCCACTGCTCCACCAGAGTTCTAAATAGTTAAATAAACTTGTAGAAAAATATAGGTGACTGACTTAAACATATTGTTATTGTTAAGTGCTGTTGAGTTGGTTCCAACCCATAGTGACCCTGTATAGGGTTTCCGAGGAGTAGCTGGTGAGCTTGAACCACCCACCTTGCTGTTCAAACTAACTTTGTAATTTAGTGTCTTAACCCACTCTCTCTCTCTCTCTCTCTCTCTCTCTCTCTCTCTCTCTCTCTCTCTCTCTCTCTGCATATACAGGTAAGTAACTTGTAGTGGCAACTAACAGTTACTTAGGGATTTGTTGTGTGGTACACTGACACTGTAATTTGATTAGTAATAAAGTAGAGATGATCACATTTAATTCACTGTGAGAAGCAGAGAATCCCCCTTCTAAATTACATAAATTAACATTACTTACATATGTGTGTGCATACATATACTTATATATTAATGTATATATCCATATATATCTAAATTACCTTTAGAAAAGTTTTATGTTTTGCATTTCTTACCTTTAAAGAAAGTATCAAGTTTGGTCAAGTTTAATACATTCATGGCAATTTTTCCTAATGAAATAATTAACCAACCCAAAGCTTAAACCACTAAATTTGTGACTTTGTTAACTGTACAATTTTCTATTTTAGCAAAAAATGAGGGGCAGCCCAATAAGGAAACAATTCAATAAATTGTGCTACATGACTAAGTAAATTACGTTACTTCATCTACGTACCTAGCTAAATGTGGGTGTGACTAGAGGGCCAGAGGAGTGGGCCCAGGAGAGGTGACATGTGGAGAGAGGGTACAGACTCCTGGGAAAAGAGAATGGTTCAACACCTGGAAGCAAAGCACAGACCTAAGGTACTGTGACAAAAGAAGGACACAAGAGCCATCCAAGAGGAATGGCAGCTGAAGAAGACAGTCACATGAAGAAAGAGAGTCAAATGTCCAAGCTTGCTTTGACACAGAAGAGTACTCGTGCAAGCCTGTTAACATTGCCCTTAGAACTAGCCCCACTTGGACCATTGCTAGACTTGAGAGAGAGAAAGAGAAAGACTGAAATAAAGACTGAGTCCATTTCACACAGATAATAGCAGCCCCCAAATTTAATAACAACCTCACCTTAGTGTAATAGATGACAAAGGATATAAGGAAATGCAGTAGAAAATATCTGGTTAATAATACGAACATGATCCTGCCGCCTTGTCACTTATTGAGCACCTACTACATGCCAGGTCCTTCATATGGAATTGTGTCTAGTCATCAGAAGATCCATTTTACATATGCAAACAAGATTTGAAGGGAAGAAGTAAATTGCCAAGTTCACAGAATGGTGTGATAGAGATTTGTACCAAGTCTGCCTCCCAAACTCATGTTCTTTTCAGTAGCCAAGTATCTTTTTAAATGGTGGCTTGCAAACAGCATTTGTCCAGAAAATATTAAATGACTTCAAATGTTGTTGTTGTTAGTTGTTCTTTGTTTTTTTAGTTTTATATGAACAGGCAGTCCCCGGTTAAGTCCATGTCTTTAGGAATTTGTAGGTGAGCCAGGACAGGTGCATACAGTTCTTATTTAGCCATATTTTAGCGTAAAAAATGAGCTCCAGTGGAACTTTGGTGAAAATGCTTGGCTGCTAATCAAAAGTTGAACGATTCAAAAACTGTTTCATAAAGATTTACAGCCTTGGGAAAACTATGGAGCTGTTCAAATCTATCCTATAGTCACTATGACTTGGCATAACTGGACGGCCTAGATTAATGCAAGAAAAGGCTCAAGCCTTTTCAATGATTGAAAAGTTCCACATGCAGCAAGTGAAGCTAACTGTGATGGAGAAATTGTTGGGAGTAGAGGTTGGTTCATTCATTTCAAAGTGAGGGCAAATTTACATAGCAGCAAAGGGTTGTTGTTGTTGTTATGTGCAGAGGAGTAGGTTCTGACTCATAGCGACCTTGTACAGGATTTCCGAGGCTGTAAATCTTTACGGGAGCAGAAAGCCTCATCTTTCTCTCACGGAACAGCTAGTAGTTTTGAACTGCTGACCCTGAGGATAGCAGCCGGATTTGTAACCTATATGCTACCGGAGCTCCTAGGAATGATCTATAGCTCAGACATTCATAATCCAGCGACAGTCTGTATATG